TGCAAAACGCACTCGTTTGTACGTTAATGAGACAGCATAGCATGCCAATGCCCAATGTTTCTCCGAACGTTCCCCGAAGAGTCGGGTAGTGTCCCCCGAGCGTTGAGTGGTATAGGTTCAGGGGATGGTAGGAAGAGAAGAGGGGTGGTATAGTGCTAGCCTGGACCTGCAGAGACTAGGAGAGGGGCTAGAACAATGAAATACTGAAATATCTCAGCAAAAAAACATGCACTCATCCTTGTGCAAAACGCACTCGTTTTTAGGTTCAGTGAAATTAATGCGACAACGGGCAGTTCATGGGTAACTTTACCCTAGATGCTGGGTAGCGTAATTTTGGGGAAGACAGGAAGGGGTATACTGAAACTCTACTCAAGCAAGTAATATGCACTTATTCTCGTGCAAAGCGCACTCGTTTTTGGGTTCACTCGAATTAATGCGGCAACCGGGCAGATCACGGGTAACTTTACCCCAGGTGTTGGGTAACGTAGTTTTGGGGAAGACAGGAAGGGGTTTGCGACCATATCGCTGATTGCTGTGAAATTTACATAAAATTGTTTTGGGCCAAAAATTTTGATTTATAAGTTGAAATAAAAACGATTCCTAGCATTTTTGTTAGTTGAACTAGCAGCGACGGTTCGTTTAATGTCTCAGTCCAGAGTCGATCGGTCAGTGATTTCCCAGTCTACAAAATCGTATAAAACACTGTTTCACAAACAACTGAACTGCCAATGTCCCATCGGGCTGTTGTGCTGTGCTTCAAAATAAATGTCTGAAAAGAGGCCCAGTATGTTTGAGGCCTGTTCTTCTGATATGCGGATGGGGAGGGGGAATTTCGACAGACTATATATTTTTTTACTTCGAAATATTCAAAAATATTCAAACATGCCCCGTGAATTTCCCAGTGACAACGGATGTGTACACGGTAAAATATACACGATTTTTCTGAAACGAAAGGATGCGCAAAAATTTTCAGAGACTTTTTGCGCATTTTATGCGCAAAAAGATAAAGATGCCTCCATAAAAAAAGTTTTCTTATTTTAGCTAAATATGCATTAATAATGACAAAGTTGAAAGTTTTGGGAAACACAGATATCTTAAAACATATGGATATCAGTGTTTTTTTCTGAAAATTTCGATACTAAGAGTTCTGTGATATTAATTCACCGATATCCCAAAGCACTGGGTTAGAAGCAAAGTTTCAAGTTACATTGTATTTCGATTAATGATTTTTTTGGTTGTATTTAGGCTAGTTAAAGAAATATGCAGAAAACCCACTGGTTCGAAAACCAATAGAACTGTTAACTAATAATTCTGGGAGCTCAGCAGTTGTGATAAGAATTGTAGCTGGCTTCAGTGCATACAAAAAAACCTCTTATTGGATAGAGAGCCAATAAAACTTTTAGCTAAATAATTCTCTGAATAGTTCAAATGTGACTTATAACCGGCTTCGAAATTTGAATTGATATCACGAGCCCAGGACAAAATAAAACATGAATCACAACATTTGCTGTTTCTTGAGTGGTGAATCATTCAGAAGAATTACAATCGAGTTCCCGCATACCTACTGGATCATTCAGCAGTTAGCTTCAGGCATAGTAAAATCCATATCACTTCGACCAAGCTGTTGCTTCACTGTTGCATTACTTCTTGCCAATGAAGCAGCTGGCAGCTTCCTCATTCTTCTCTATTTTGGGCTTCTCTCATCCGCGTAATTCCACTAAGCTGTTCGCAGGAGAAAATGAAAGCAGCCGATAACGATGAGGCAGCGACGGTTTGTCCAGAGGGTGATATCATTTTACGTCAGCATTCGAGACCGTGTGATAGGCTAACGCAACGCTCAATCGACCGACTCATTAAGAAACTGTTGAAGGTGTGCAAACGACCGAAATATCAACTGTCTGCAAGTGTTAGCGTCGGAAAATTCTACTATGTAAGGAGGAGTTTCTTATTATCTGGCAATGAAAATTTCGGGACTCTTCTGGCGCAGCAATCAGCACAACCAATAAAAAAATTGGCCAACGCACGGGCTGCCCGTGCGAAGATGCGTTTTTTGCAGAGTTCCCCGC